TAATAATAATAAAAAAAAAAAAATAGTGTGTAGAGAATGGAAGAAAAAAGTACTGTTCAGGCTGTCCAGGACAAATGGGACAGAAAAAATAGAAGGGGAATTCAGAGACCATGGGTCAAAATGTTCAGACATCTGGACAGTCTCACATCTGGAGACTATCAGAGCAGACAGATTGTGCTGACTGCAATCGTATAGTTACAGGAAAAGAAGACCAAAAGGGGACAGTAGGTAGTTGTGTAAAAGTAAATCACCACCCGGTGATGTGGACAGAAATTAAATCAATACATGGTCAGTTCTTGACCCTGTTTAGCCTAGGTCATAGACTGAGTTTTCATGACTACAGACACACAGTGAAACTTTACACAACCTCCCAGTCACCACCATGACATTGTCCCCTATCTTTTTTCTCATGCCTTCTTCCTTACCACATCTCTTGAGTGCGACCCTTCTTCTGTCTTAGCCATCTCGATCTCCTGTTGGCCATAGCTGCCTTCTGAGCAGACATCCTTCATCTTGAGCTGTCCTTGCTCTGCCTTGTCTGCAGGGAGTGGCCCCATATGAACCTCTGAGGCTGGTGATTGTTCCACGGTGGGACTCTGCTCTGAGGACTGGCAGGTGCTGCTGGTGGTGCTTGTGCAGCTGCTTTGCCCACATAATGTCTCCTGATTTTCTGCTGCTGGCTGTGGAGTTTCTAAGGACTCGGGTTTCCTGGTGGCCACCAGCTCCTCAGGGTGAGAGCCTGGATCAGAAACACAAATGAACGATGTCACTACTGGTGACTGAAACCATGTGCCCTGAGACAAAGCTGTGCTGTTTCAACCCAATGCCAACTAACAGAGCTAAAGAGCTCCCTCCGGGTGCAACAGGACACTGCTTGGAGGCCACCCACCTCCCCAGTCTCATTACTGCAACAAATACCAACCTGACCTACCACAGTCAGCACCCACCCTGCCACAGCTTGGACTCTTTCCTGCCACAAGAGCAGGTTGGAGCAACCTCCACGCCACCGAGCTGCAGGGCACCTCCAGTAGCTCCACTTCCCCCCCTTAAAACACTTCTACCTCTGGATGCTTCTGCTGGCAGGGTGGGTCCCGGCTGTTTCTCCTTCCCCTCCGGCACCTGCTCTGTCCTTGTGTGTGTCCCCACTTCCAGGGCAGAGGTGCTCGTGCTCTCGGCCACCAGGGAAGACAGCTCCTCTAGGCTGGAGAGGGAAAGCTTCTCCTTGGCCGGCACGCGGCAGGGGGTGCTGTTGGTGCTGATGACTGCGGACACCCGGAGGGGGACAGAGACAGCAAAGGGCTCTGAGATGTTCAGGGCTTTCCTCTGGTGACGAGGGGAGGCCTCCAAGGGGAAGAGGCTGCTTGGGAAGCCTGACTTGGCAGCTGTTTCAGAGGTGTAGAACATGCGGCCACCTTTGGGGGAAGTCTGCTCGTTTTCAGCATTCTCTGCTGCTCGGAAGACCTTCAGCTGCTCAGGGGGTGACTTTGCCTGTGGTGTCCGGGGAGGACCTTTCTCCCCACTCAGCTCTGAGCACCCTTTGGCCCCCACAGCAGATCCTTCCCGCTCCCACTCGTTCTCCTTGCTGAGGTCATATGAGCTGCCTGTGCCTCCTGTCCGTATCTTCATCACCGGAACAAAAAACCCTCCAGTAGTCACTGTCCGTTTGAATCTGCTCTTTTCATCCTCCCCTAGAGGTGGGAACATAGGAGGGAGTCAGTGGGAAGCAAAGCACTAGCAAGCAATCTTCCTCTGTGAGAAGCCCTCCTCAGTCCCTCCAGGGATGAGTCCTGCCCTGGTGAACACTCACATTTCCCCAGAGAGATGGGGACAGCAGGCACTGAAGACCTTCCAGGCTCCAGCCCTGGGGCCTCCTTCAGACTGGGCAGGCAGGGCTGGATAGGATGCCCTCCAGTGGAAATCACCTAGGACTTTTGTTAGAGGCCTCTCTCAATCAGATACAGCCGAGTCTTGCGCTAGCATGCATTGCCTACAAAGATCACACTTCCAGGCTTTGTTGGCTTATTGCAAGCACTTTTCACTGCTTTATACTTTTCCTTTTAAATGGGAATTTTGTGCCCAGAATAACCAAGAATGAAATCAAAGCAACCCCACTCTTAATAAAGATGCATTTAGGCACAGTGGTAACTCTCAGGTACATGCACCAGCATAAAAGACGCTGAAACGGGGTAAAAATATATGCACACAAAGGTGGGGGCACATGTCAGCAGCCATGCCACAAGCATACAAAGATGCAAAATACGGTGAGATAGGCAAAGAAACAGACCACCGCATCCATGCAGGCACAGGGGAAAGCTGAGAATCCAGAGGTGCAATCCTTCACCCTTACGGTATAGGTTATTGACGTCTCACCTTCCACTGGCAGGGAACACAGCGAGTCCATGCTCTTGGCAGGCCGAATAGTTGCTTTTTCTGTGGAAAATGAGTTTTAGAAACAGGCTTCAGATCCTGCGGCTTTGCAGGTTTCAGCCCATAAAGACCAAAGGCTACATATAGACGAGCATGCCAGGCAGACATCAAAGTTATTTTCCATTTCCAGGCATTCCCCCTCTGTATCCACACCACGCGGCTTATTACCCACAACACTTGTCCACACAGCTGGTGATCTGCTAGTGCTAACAACAGCTTTGCACCTGCCGAACACATGGAGAGCTATACTTAACCCAGCCACTCAGCACCATCTCCGCTGTGAAGCACTTAAAGATCCCCAAAGCTGTTACGTGCCACTGCCCTCCCTGATCAAGTCAGGCTATTGGTTGTGGGGACTTTTTAACTAAACTGACATAAATGCCTTCTCACCTCTCATTCCTGATAGCAAATGTTAGGTTATTTTTATGTTGCACTCCCAGGCTCTTTCGCTGGCATGAGCATACCCTGCCTCCAGCAAACACTCTGGCAAATTTATGAGGGCAGTAAGCAACCTATTTTCCTAGTCATCCTCGCTGGACTTGCTTGTCCAGAAACAAGCTGCCATTTGTCACCAGACACTCTACAGGTCTGTTCCTGAGAGGTTTTGGAAGCGTGTAGCTGTTACCGCTCTGAAAAGGGGAGATGGGGGGAATGTAGCTGGCAAGGAAGACAAGTCAGTCTCTGGCAGGCCAAAAAGGGTCCCTGGAGATCTGGAAAATGTCTAGAAGCAAAGTTTGCTGTTTACAATGTTGCACAAAGTAGGTAAAGCAGAAAGTGAGCAGGCTTGTTGGACTTAATTCATTTATATAATTAAGGCTTCTGGGACTGACTTTCACATGAGCACAGGAGAAACCCCAGCTACTTTTTGCATTTATATGGAGTCCTGGCTACTTCTTATGTTCATATGGCATGATGTCTTGAGCACTGGCTCTGCTTTCCTGGAGGAACAGAATTCAAGCTGTGGAGCTCGTGTTTTATGTGACTTGCAGACTTGTGTACATGGACACAAACTGTGTTAAAGTGTGTACTGAGTTTCAACAGCAAGTTCATCTGTTTCCTCACATTAGGCTGTAAGCAGAGAGCACACAAAAACACAACATGACAGCACTAAAGCACTGCTTCTCAAAAGCACTACTTAGTGCCTAAATCTCTGTGCATGATTGTGCATTTGTGTGTCCTGCTGGTGAAAAGGTACAGCCTCCTGTCACTCAGTACTGTGCTTGGAACAAGGCTTGGCCCCCACGATCACTGGGCTCCAGTCATTCCTGGGCATCCTTGGGTTAGCGCTATTTTGGGACAGAATATTTCTTATCAAAGTGAGAAGGTGATCCGGTGATCAAAATAAGATGGAGAGCTATTTTGAGGTCTGCCATGAGCACCCTGTGCGAGACCATCTGTACATGCAAAACATGGGGGAAGGCAGGGGTCCAAAAAGAGCTGGATCCAGCATTTGGCTTCACACTCAATTCTGATCCAAATACAGCCTCTCTTATATGTGGTGGTAGGTAATGTTGCCAACATTAACTATTTTATTTTAAGTCTTGCAATGTTTGGTAGTGCTCCTCCAAACACCAGCTCCTGGAGTCATGAGATTATCTAAAAAAAATTTCCACTTTATTCTTCTTCTTAAAAAGTAAATTTCTTGACTTGGAGGTACTAAAAAATATAAAACATATAAACCCAAAACACTTTTTTATGAACTCAGGTAAAAAAGGGTATGCTTTCTTTTAAAAATTGTCATTAGTTTTCAGTCAACTTCATGATTTTTAGAACTTGAGTCATCATTTCTGAACACTGGGAATTGGCACTGGCATGTGATTTTCTAGGAAGTAGAGTGTTTAAGAGATTGCAGCTCAGAAGGGGCTTGAATTTGGGATTACAGCCAGGAGAAAAGACAACTTCTCTCTTGTAAATTCTGCAAAAGTAATAGCTTCCCTCGAAGTGCTGAGAGCCAGGAGCCATAGGAACTCCTGGCACCTTGTTTTTCACAAAGACACCAAACACAGTTGGTTCTTTAATGCCCTTCAGTGCAAGGACAGCCTGGACGGATAGCCATTCACCCAGTGCCATGTAAAGAACATTAGGAGCCAGAGGCTGGCTAGGCTGGAAAAGTGGACTAATCCAAACCTATATAGCATTTCCTACTCCCCAGGCTTGACAGCTGGGCAATGGGTGACTGTTTACCACATACCAAAGTGGAATATTTACTGTAGCTGTCTGGCATATTCTCCTGAAAGGGTGCTTCTCACCATCACGTGAAAATGAGATGTTTGTGAAACCAGGCAATAAACATGACCCCATTAGACTTTCTCAAGTCTAATGGCATTAGTGTCATGTGGATACAGGTTGTCCCATGCTATCAATATTGCAGGAGAAAACTTCAGAGAGAAACACTTAACTGAAAAGTGTGTTCTTACCAGAGAGCTTCTGTGCCCTTACGAAGACGCTTCCATTTCGACTCAGTTTAGACTTCGATTCTGAGCCAGAACGGCCCAAGTTAAATATTGACTTCCATTTCTTGGACTTGGTAGATAATTTTCGCCTGGAAGGAAAATGGGCTCAGGAGTTTACCAAACCTTAGAAACTTTTGTCTTTTTAATATCCCACAAAAGCCTCTGAGCTCTCTCCCCTCAACACTGTCCCTCTTTTCTTCTCACACCTCTTTTAATTCTAAGGCATGTGAGGTATAGCTACACAACTAACTCTTGCTTTTCTGTAAGTGATTTATCTGTATTGCTGATTTAACCGTATCATGGATGGAAAGACACCTAAGCCGACTCTTCAGAGAGCTGGCTCTGGCATCATGCTACAGCAACTGTGATTGACTGAGCAATCAACCATGCTTGTCTCCAGAAAGGAGCAGTTTCCAAGACTAGAACTATCTTGCAATACAGTAAAGAAAAATGGCCTTTTTAACAGGTTTTAATAACAGAATGCAAGAAAAATTCCAGAGAACTGTTGGAATTGGTACTATCACTCAGTGCACAAAGCTATCCTTTAAAGTCTACATGTCTTATAGCTTTTATGAATTTGCAAAAATAAAAGGAACCCTTAATACAAACTAGCTATTAATGCTTATCAGGCCAACATTAATTTAACCATAGGTGTTATATGATCATATGCAAGTATAATGTACTAACCAAAAAAAGGAGGCAGCTTAAGGGAATTAAATCAATTTCTCATAATTGTCAGAGGAAGTGGGACACCAGTTCCCTGTGTCTCTTTGGAAATCCCAGCTTTAAACAGAAAGAAGCTGCTACTCCTGAAACCAGTTTTCTTCTATTCATATTACTGCATGAAGCTCTGTTTCAGTTCCTTCACATACCCATTCTGACTCCTCCTTCAATCTTCCCTCTTTCAGAGCAAGAACCCTCTTATCTCCCTGTCTTGCTCTCCATAATGGGCTTTCTACCCCCATAGTTCTGCTTTTCTTTCAGATCAGTACTCAGAAGAGCACAAATCAGTCCTACAAAGAGGATTAGTATCTTGGTGATTGGAATGTTCTCTTCAAGTGAGAGAGGAAAATACACTCTAGAGGGGCAATACACCCTTTTGTCTTAAGCTGGTTATCCTCTTGCCAGTATTCTTTTAGATGGCTCCTTCTTGCTTTAATATATCAAGTGTAAATAAATATCTTTGCTCCAGTGTTTTATGGGTCAGTAGATTAATGAGCCTCCTTCTGCAGAGGCTATAATCTCTCAGAACCAGCCAGTAGAGTGTCCATATATTAACAGCCAGATAGACCAATAGATAAATTCTTATGCTGGGCAGCAGTGCCAACAACTGCAGCAACCTCAGCTGAAAACTTCTCCTGGCATAGGCATAGGTGGCATAGGTGCCGCTATGTAAATATCTCTCCATGCTAGGAGTGAAAATTCGCCTTACTGCTTGGCTATGTGCAGAGGAACCTGGAGAATGATGAAGCTGAGCAGGCCAATGCCACCAGGCGCGCCATGGACCAACCACCAGCAGGTGGAACTCGTAGGAGAGCTGTGTCTGGACCTGCTCCACGTTCAGCCCGTGTTTAGCCAAATCCTAAGCTGACACAAGGATGCAAAGACAATTAATTCCTCCTTCAGGAGGTCTGCAAGGTTCTGCCCCGAAGGAGGAATGAGGACTAGTGGAGCTATGAACCTAGCAACTGCAATGCTTCTCAGGAGCAGTTGTGCCTCTTTTGAGAAGGGCATACAATTTTCTCCGATGGTGGCTGTAGATGCATGTGTGCAGGTGTGGGGCTATCACAGTAACAAAAGTCTCATTCCCGATCATCCTGGGGAACCTGCACATTTTTGTTTGCACTTTACACTCCTCTTGGCACTTACTTGCTGTCGGGGAGGTCAAGAACTGTGTGGAAGAGAGACCCAGTTACAGGGACAATTTCAGGCAAGCTGTTCTCTCTTCTCTCCTTCCGAGCAGGGTGGGAGGCAGACAGACTCCGTGCCTGTGCTTCCTCCAGGCTCACCAGTTTCATCGGCAGGGAGGCCGAGGGGAGGGTCAGACTTTTCACAACTGATGCACTCTCTGAAAAGCAAGAAAATACATCCCCGCCTGGAGTGAGGAGAGACAAGAGCAAGAGCTTCATGTCTTTATTTGACTGGAACATCTCCTGCGGAGGTGGGAGAGGAACAGCACGTGCAGGGAGAGATGCTTTTTGTCAGATAAGTCTTCCATCTCCCCAGCAACCTTATCCATCTGAATGCATTCCCAGCAGGGGCCATGCTCACCAGCCAAAGGCTGTGTTGCACAGACTTGCTGCCTCTGCTGTAGATGCTTCAGTGTGAAAGAGGCGTCTCTGAAAACCACCAGGATTCACACATTCCCCTTTCTCCTTCTTCCTTCCTTCCCTCACTCCCTCCACAGATTTTGGAGCAGTTCAGTCACCGATCCAAACCTGGTTCATAATTCTTTCTCTCACTTCCATGTCTTTCTCCTTGTCTTGTTCCAGGAAGGGGGAATGTTCTGAAAGCCAGCATTACCTTACCTTCCTAATACATTTCAGGGCTATGGAAAGGAGTGTGACCAACAGCCCTGGAAACTGAAGGTCTCTGTTTACATGGGCAGTGGCAAAGCCAACTTCCGATATGCCACCCCACCAATAGCCTTATCCTAAACAGACCTCCTCGTCGTGCATGAAGGAAGTGCAGTCTCTGGAGTTCATTAGGTACTTAGCCCTTCTGCTGAAGGAGGGTGCAGGCTCCTGCCTGTGCAGAGGGGCTGGGTGAAGGGGAATTTTCCCACGAAGAAATCAACTGGCACCATCAGCCTGTTCCTCTCCTGACTCCACACAGCTGTTAAAGGCCATCAGTGTTCAGCACTTACAAAATTTGGGTCAGTTTTGGGCCAGTGACCTGCAGTACAACCAGCAGCCTTGGAATTTACTAGTGGGTGTTTCGCTGCAATGCTTAAGGCAGTACGGGAGCAGTTTCTTACTGCATGCCTTCTGCCAGGGCATAAACAAGTGCATAGGAATGGCATCTGCACTGGCAGAGCAGGGATGCTACAGGTCGAGCAGGGCACTGCACTGGAACTGTGGGGCCCAGGGACAGACTAGCAGACAATGCCACATGTTAAGGGAAAGGTGGATTGGACAAGCTGACACAGGGCTGGAAAGCAGAAAGGATACTCCCTCACTTCTGCAGCTATTATGAGTCTTCCCAGTGGGTAAAACAGAACAATGCATGTTTCTGAACTTATGTGAGGCCACTGTGGATCCACACCCTCTCACTTCCCAGGCTTAAAAGCATTTTGACAACAAACCTGCCACTAAATAACAAAAATCAGCATCTTCCAAGACTGTTGATGTCCCAGGGGAAAAAAAAATCTCTTTTTATAAAACATCCCGAAGTACAAGACATAAGTTTTTAGAACACAAACTTAAGTCTCATCTTGGGAGTGTGGCTTCTGACTTGGGTGGATATCGTGGCTGCAGGGCAGGTATCATCGGTATGAGGAATTATAACTGGGGGAGCCTGAGAGAAAAATTGAGACTGTGGCTGATGGGCTTAGAGAGAAAGTTTAGACGAGGATTGTGAAGCAATTAGGTGGTCTTCCTTTTGCACAAAGAGTTCAGCCAAGTGAGACCATGCAAAAGATAAGCCATAGGGCAATCTGGGAGCACATTGAAGGACAGTAGTATTCAAAAAGAAAATGTTAGAGATGGGGATGAAGAGGACAAGAGTAATGAGGGATTGGGCTCAAGGTGTGTTTGGGGGAGTCTGTGAGCACAGTAAGGGTTGATGTGTTTGAAATATTAGTGGAAGGGGATACAGTTAGAGCTGGAGTACATGGCAAGTGACACATAAGAGTGGTTCAGGGAGGTTGTTACCAATGTTCTCCGCACAGCTGGCTTTTCTGTTGTTGCTGAAGATCTGATCCACGTGATTCAGGATGAACTCAATCACCAGCTGCTGCACTCGCACCTCCAGGAAAGCTGCATCCCCATTGCAGCCAACCGCCTCAATCTCCTTTGACCTGCACCAGGAAAGAGATATACTAGTAGTCAGCATTGCCACACACAACCCCTGGGAAGGAGAGATCAGCTTTCTTCCTGCAAGACTTGGAACAGGGATGTCTTTCTTCCCCACTCTTGCTGCACCTCTTGCTCTCCTTCCTTCACAGGCCCTCATCCTCTCTGCCTTTTCACTCTTTTAGAAATTATTTTCCCTGTTTTGCCTGTCACCTCTGCTGCTTTCATTCCTGCCTGTGTTATTTTCCCTACTTCACTTTTACATTCTTCAGCAGTAGATAAAACCGTGACTCTCAAACTCCACTCTTCTCCCTCTATGCTCCTCTTTTAGCTATTTTGAAGTTGGGCCTGAAAGACAATGCAAAAGCCTTCAAACACTGTTTCCAGATCCCTACTCAATGCTTCAATCATCTCTCAGTTAAATCCCTTAGAACCCTCCTCAGGTCTTCCCCACACCAATTTTTTCAATGCTTTGCCATATGCCCCAGTAGTCTCTTCTCTGCCCACCCTGCACTCCCACATTCTCACTCTTGCTCTCAGCAAAGAAACATTCCTTATCTTGACATGCCAAAGTGTTGCTGAAGAAATTATCTCTGGGCAATGGATCCTTTGTAAAGTTAATGACTGGTGTGTTAGATAATAGCTTGGGGCATTGCCAAGAGGATAACCCTGTAAGGAGACTGCAGTTGCACTGCTTGCTCCTTTCTCTTCCTCCCTGGGACTTGCACTTAGAGAAGATTGCAAAAGGAAAGAGACTTCAGTTTTTTTGACAAGGACAGATGCTAGAATGAAAATGTCTCAATAGCAAAGGTCCACTTTGTAATATTCAATAGAGTTAACATTCGATTCATTTTCAGAACCTGATCCGCCTGTTTTGTGATTTAAAAGGGTGAGATAACTCTTTAGAGAACATTTTTCAGGCCTGTACCTCTCTAACCAATGTCCCTCCCTCCTGTCCTCTGCCAGCCCAGGACTCCCCCCACCAGCTCTGCCAGAGCCCCTCTCCCACCCAGCTGCAGTCCTGGACTCTCCCTGCATAGTTCATTCCTCTCAATACATGGGTATGGGATGGATGGGGAAGGGAATTTCATCAAGATACAAAATATTTCAGGTTTTTTTCCAGATACTATTTTTTCTTGTTCTGCTTAGCTCTACAACATATGAGCCAAACCTCTGCCTGCATCTTATTCAGGCCTCTTCCCAGCAGAGTGGCAGGCATAGCAAACATGACAAACTAGCTGGTGGTCTTGAGATCTGACACTAGCTGCCACCAAGCTCACCTCACTTATGCTCAAGCCCATCTCGGCACAGGCCTGTAGTATTATTGGCCTGTTGCCCTCCCTTCCAAGCCTTGCTGTCTCCCACTGCCCCACTGCAGAAGCACTGGCACTGTCATAAAAGTCATTTCCGTTCCACAGTGATGAGCTAACTCCTCATTTTTAAATCAATGTTCTCAACTTGCAAATAACAGCTTTTTTTTTATATATATATAAGAAACACACAAAACCACAAGCTTCCTTGGATGCTGGCAGTAAGACCTCAGATTATTCAACCTGGAAGAATTTTTTCTCCTTTTAAAATCTGCTCTGCTCTACTGTTCCTTTTAGTTGTTCTGCTTTTCCCTGTTTTTGCATTTCCCTCAAGGGATGGGTCTCCAGGCTCAGGTGCTGGTGCTCCCCTTGGATCTCAGCATTGGTCTCTGGATTAGAGGACTCTACTGTACCTGAGAAGATTGGGAGCCCACACCAAGGCCAGGTTTCTGGTGTGCATATTGGTCATGTTGCTGAAGGAGGCCAGGTGAGTCAGGTGCTTGATCAGGTATTCCAGCGTTCTGCAGTGGTTTCATATGGAGAGAAAAAAGTGTCAAGTGACCAATGCCTGCCCACAGGGACAGCAAGCCTCAGACTCAGCCCTGGCCTCAGCATTGTCCCCTCCTCAAAGAAGGCAGTGTCTGCAATGGCCCAACAGGCCCCATAGGACAGAGGGTTTACAGCGCTAGCATTTCCATGGGATGGCAGTGAACACCTCAACAGCTGTGCTTTGGGATGGCTGAGGATGGGGCAGGAACCAAACAATCCTTAGCACCATGGGTGCGAGGAAGATGGCAGAGGGATGGGAGAAGGAGTGGGATGATGCAAAGGCTGAGGACTTAGCTCTTGCTCAGGTGCCTCCAGCAGATCACCTTCTTGACACACTCAGGACACTGGCCAAGGGTGCCATGGGGGTCATACCCAGGGAAGGAGGATGATAGACTGCTGCAGGGAGAGCTTGTTCGATCTCTAACAATGGTTTGTTCAATGCTATTTAAATGGCAGATAAATAGTTGTCAGATTTGGAAATGGTGAGTCAGCTTTTGGGAATTAACTTCTGGAAATTAACTCCAGTGCTGTTTCAGGCAATACTCTCTGATGGTGAGTGTGACCACACTGTTCCTCAGCACCTCACTGGACACCTTCTCACCTGTAATGCGATGGGGGGAGCTCCTGGATGACATTTTGAATTCGTGCCAACTGCTCGTCCTCAGGGAAGCGTGATACTGCTTCCTGCAGAGATAAAAAGAAACAGTCCACCCTGGCTATGGACTCAGGGGAAAAGGAAGAGAGATAAGGAGGATCACACAAGACAGCCTGTCTCAGAGGGAATGCTCCCTTGTTACCTTACAGAGCTATTGGTAGAAGAAGTTGCTTTGTGTTCCCAGCACAGCAGAGATTTGCTGAGCTGTTATTTTATGTCTCAGTACATCCTTCCACACGTTGGGACAGGGTGGCCAATGTTTTGGGGAGAGGGGTGTTTAAGGATGGAGAGTTTCAATTAGGAGTTATGTTTCTTTTCTTTTTTTGTTCTTTTTCTCTTTTTTAACTTGTGCACAGAAGTTGGGTAGAACAGAAAGAGAGGGAA